TCCAGACACTGGCCTGCGGTGCCAGTCATGAGTGGCGGGTCGACGCCCAGAGCACACAAGCCAAGCCATGGATGGGCAAAACGGTATACGTGTTGCGCGTGTTCTACGCCCTTGGTCCTATTCAAGACGAGTTGGTCGGTTTGGCCGACTTTGTGCCCGACTGTTTGGTGAGTGGGGGTGTTTTCAAAAAACCCAAGTTTGAGTCCCAGTCCTCACTTATAAGGAAGGCCAGCAAATGGCTGTCTGATAATCCGGAGGTCAATTTTTGCAGCGTCTCATCTATACTCATATCAAGTAAATAGTAATTTTTATCATGTTTAATTATTACAAATGTATTATACTGTATGTTGTTATATCAATTTATTTGAAATCTTAATTTTATTAACTTATATTTAAAAACTTTTTAAATGCTTACAATGTTAAGTAATTGATATATTTTTATAAACTACTAGTGGTTTCAATAGACACAAAGCAAATGGCCGTCAATAGTGATACCGGGAACTTCGTCCGTATCCTACGGCTCGTATACACTAAACCCCGTGAACTGCCGTCAGATATACCCATCTCATCGATACAACCGCCACCTCAGCCCGTATATGTCGAGCACAGGGTGTTTGTTGTTCACAAAGGCTACTGGGAGGTCAAGCGAGTGATCAATGAGTTCTTGGCACGGGATGAATGGCGGGCCACCGATCAGTACAAGTGGTTACTGTTAAACGTGGAGACTGTGGCCGTGTATGCGTCCAACGGTCTGCGCGAGTCCCTCGAGACTAATGCCGACCAGAGTTTTCAGGCCCTCCTGTCCTCTAATCTGTCGATGAATAGGACGGAGTATTTTGCGATTAAATTGTATTATGACGTCGGCTACTATGGTATCGACCATTTGGCTACCGGTGCTAAGGCCGAGGAGGAGACTGAAGCTGCTAAATGCAGCGGTAAGGGCTGTAGTCTCTTGTGATGTTAAAGTCATCTTTAAATAGTTAGTATTGAACACTGTTATATGAATTGTGTGATCTTTATTGAACCTTAGTTTAATTCTGTTTGTATTGTTAAATCAATTTTTGTATTTAACATAAAGTTAGCGATGGGTTACAGAATATTCTGGTGATCCCTATTTTAATCGATATGTTACCCACATATCGTTATACATACAGGCGCTGCGATCATACATAGACATGTTATCATCTGTCACTTACTCAATTCTTTGTTTGAGAGTCTCGCGTACATACCATAATATATTGTATTATTATGATGACGTGACATATAAATGTCTTAGGTAACCGCGTGTGTCTTATAAGACTTCAGGCATGTAATGATTTATTTGCTAATTTCTAGTATTGTGTGTATATATAATAGTATTTGAATTATAAAACACTAGATTTATTTAATGCATTTGTAGTGTACTTTTTGTTTGCATAATCACTGATTTGCAAATATTATCATTGATTTAATCCACTAAAGAGGAAGGCATACACGAAGACAACGACAATGACTTTTTCAATAATGCGAAGGCGTGTGGAGAAGCGGGCGATGGAAAGGCAGCTCAAGATTGACGATATGGTGGTGTTTGATGAGGACCTGCCCCACAAACTGGACGAGTGTCGGCTCACTTTTGTCGACTTTGCGCCCATACTTAAGACAAAGTATCATGGTGAAGGCATCCAAAGTGTCCAGTACTCGTATGTATATTACCGTGATTAATATTTTTGTTCTAGGTTAATTGCTCTAACTCGTTTGAGATTACTGATTACTCATGAAATAATTAATTTGCATAATATGCTTCTGTGTTATTTTTTTAAAAACTGATAGCTGATTGTGTTTTAGTAAATGTGATTGATCTAACTGCACTAAATGTATTGGAATGAGGGGGTTTGTTTTTGTTTTTACGAGCTCTTTATTATGGTAGAGTTTCAATGTCATTAAATTCATTAATGGCAATGTTATTATGCGTTTCCATTGACAACCAGACATGCAGACCAGTCCCATGAATATTAATCTTATATTATATAACGTTAAATTACACGTTAGTATCATCACGCCCAGTGTTCCCCCTGGGTAGACATTATTGTTTATACCAATAGAAAATTTGTAAATAATAATTATGGTGCTTTTAATACGCCACAAACAAACATTAGTTAAAAATCAATAGCTAGGTGAAATATAAAATAAAATAACCATGATATATTAAGTTTTTTAGTATTCATTTCATATCATACAAATACTGTTAATAGTGAGGTGTGGCCGGGTATGGGAACATTTGAATAATGGCCTACATATACATTATTATATTTGTACATTACAATTGTTTACTTGTTAAAATTAATTTTGTAAATGTTATGGTAAATAATTTTGTTGATTAAAGTATTTTACAGTACAAAACACAGAATCTATTATACATTAAAATTAAATTCAGTATTAATATAATTTATATGAATAGTAAATATATTTAAATACCAATACATTATTGATAATAAAATGAGAGTAAAAATCATTAATAATAAAAAATATAAATTTTACTTTAAATTATATAATGTGAAAATGCATTAACGTGAATAATGTTAATTATACACAAAAGCATATTATATTATGAAGTATGCAGTAACTCTAATAAATCTGTTTAATTACCATGTTCAATTCAGGGAGTTAATGGATTTTGCCAACAAATGGCTGCTAAGACAAGAGCGTTGGGATGTGCTGAGCGCCGAAACCTTGTCGGCCATCATCGAGATCGTGATCGACCAGAGAGGAGAAGTGGTGGGCAAACACATACTCAGCACATTCACCATCACCGAAGACAACCCAGAATACCAGGATGGCGTGGCTTTGCACCATTTCACCCAGAGCAAAGCACCCATACACTTCCGGGTCAAAATGTTACGCCTATGGCTATTGCCGTTTGATCCCAACGAGTACAACGAAAAGATCCGGCCAATAGTGCCCCAAATCCAGTTCCGGGATTTCGAGCCCCGTTCCCTGACCGACATTCCCGGCGAGTTTGAGTCGTGCGACGACGTGATGGCCAGACTCAACGACGCGGTCAACGCCGAAGAGATCACCGGCAAAGTGTTGAACGTCCAGACACTGGCCTGCGGTGCCAGCCATGAGTGGCGGGTCGACGCCCAGAGCACACAAGCCAAGCCATGGGTGGGCAAAACGGTATACGTGTTGCGCGTGTTTTACGCCCTTGGTCCTATACACGAAGAGTTGGTCGGTTTGGCCGACTTTGTGCCCGAGTGTCTGGTGGGTGGGGGTGTTTTCAAGAAACCCAAGTTTGAGTCCCAGTCCTCTCTGGTACGAAAGGCCAGCAAATGGCTGTCCGATAATCCAGAGGTCAACTTTTGTAGCGCCTCATCCATGGATGTCAAACTCAAGTCAAGTAATTAAATTGTTTTTTGATCATGTTTGATTGTTATGATAAATTACCTATTCCTTTATTTGTTTTTATAATTATATTTTATGTATTTATTTAATTTGCTGTAACTTGTTATAATTCTCTTTATATTATATTTACATTTTGCAACTTTATATGTGCTTTACAAACTAATTTAAATTAAACTAGATTATAAATTTTATTGACCATGCTTACTAATGACATTAAACACTAAATCAATAGTGGTTTCGATTGATACAAAACAGATGTCCATCACTCGTGACACCGGGGACTTTGTCCGTATTCTACGGCTTGTATACACTAAACCCCGTGAACTGCCATCAGATATACCCATCTCATCAACGCTACCGCCACCTCCGCCCGTGTATGTCGAGCACAGGGTATTTGTCGTACACAAGGGCTACGGAGAGGTCAAGCGAGTGATCAGTGAGTTCTTGGCACGGGATGAATGGCGGGCCACCGATCAGTACAAGTGGTTACTGTTAAACGTGGAGACTGTGGCCGTGTATGCGTCCAACGGCTTGCGTCAGTCCC